CCGGCCCAGGCCTGCTAAGCAATGACAACAGTAACAACAACAAAAATAGCCAGGCATTGTGGCTGGTGCCTGTAGTCCTATCTAATTGGGAGGCTGAGGTGAAAGAATTGCTTAAGCCCAAGAGTTTGAGGTTGCTGTGAGCTGTAATGCCACGGCACTCTACCAAGGGTGACGTAGTGATACTCTGTCTCAAAAAAAAAAAAAAACAAAAACAACAACTAAAACAATCAAAAAAACACATACAGCACAATTTCCAATGAGACATGCAAAAAACAAAACAACAACAACAAAAACCCTCCTCTCATTTGACACTCTAACAGCAAAAAATTAGCCTCATTCTCAGGCTAAATGTCTATAGGAAGACATAATAAATAAATTATAATATAGCTGTATAGTGGTATGTTGAAATGAATTTAGAACTGCAGATACCAAGACAGATGAATCTCAGATATGTAAATGTTGATCCAGAAAAAGCTCATGAAAGATATACACAGTATCATGTATCATTTACCTAACATTTAAAAAAATTAGTACATCTATTTTATAGACTTAGACACATATAGAAATAATTCATGCCCTCTACATGAAGGACAAAATTACTACAGTGGTTCTTTTAAGATTGAAAAAGGGGATTTGCCACCTGAGCAAAATAGTCATGGATTCTCAACAAATTTTATGTTGTAAAAAAACCACTGAAGCAAGCTTGAAATATATTAAAATTTAATAAAGCTGACACATAGGCACAAGGGACCCTCATGAAAATATTTCCTTTATGTTTTAAATATATGATAATTTATGATAGAATAAAGCATAATACATTTAATACAAACTATCCGCAAGGAAAATAGTGGAAAGATGAGAATTTTATCTTATCTATTAGCAGTTTTTGTCATTTTTCTCAGATTTTCTCTGAAGCATCTGTTAATGTAACAAATGGAACTAAAGTAGGCCTCGTACAGAATATAAAGAAGAACAAAGGAGAATGTGTAATCAAGACCCGAATAAACAAATCTCGTCTGAATATAGGAACTGGCTTCCTAGAGAAGAATCCCAAACTGTGGAGATGATCACCAGATGACAGAGAAAACTGAAATAGATGAAAGGTATAAAAAAAAAACTTTAAACCTATGAAATTATAAGCAGAAATTTCTGTAAAACATGTAGAATTACAGAAAGAGTAACAGAGGATACCCACAACAAAGATTCTGTGTTTCTTATCTCACGGTCTCCCTGGATCAGCAATCCAGGTGTGGCTTAACCAGGTTCCCTGGCTCTGCGTCTTCCCCATGTGGGGGCAACCGTCTCATTCTTAGGCTCAGACTGGCAGAGATCCACCTGCTCACATGATTGGGAGGAGTCAGTTCCCAGGGTCGTTGAACTGAGCGCCTCACTAACTTTTAGGGTGTTGAGCAGAGGCCGTTCTCAGTGGGTCTATCAACAGGACGGCTCTCTACATGAGCCGACTTCCATCAGCATGAGGAAACCAGTGAACAAAACAAGAAAACCAGACGGAAGCCAGAGCCTTTGTTAACCCAGTGTTGGACATTGTATCTTTTTTTTTTCTCATAATCTATTGTTCAGAACCAAGTTAACAGCTTTAGACTGCAGTTAAGAGAGGAGGGATTACACTGTGAATGGCAAAAGGTGGGGATCCCTGTGGTGTCTGCCTATTATAAGTTTCATCATATTGTGTCAGCTTTTTTCTTCTAGAAATACAATATCATAAGTTGAGATCATTTCTCTTCCCTCTCCTGGTATTGGTTTCCTGCTTTCATTTTCCCCTTTGTCTTCAGAGGTAAGCACCATGGTCTACTTGATGAATCACAACTATAGCCCAGGAGGAAGAAGGGAAGGGGGGGATGGGAAGGGAGGCGGTGGTTCCATAGAGGGAGGGTTAATGGTGGGACCTCACCTATGGAGCATATTGCAAGGGTCCAAGTCAAATCTATCAAGTATTGAACACAAATGTCTTAACACTGTGATTAAGTAAATGAGGTGAAAGCTATGTTAATTAGGAGGATGTAGGCACTCCAATTTGTATGAATAATCAACACATTGAATTCCACAAAGGCATAAATGTATTCATGATCTATGTATATATGACTTAATAAAAAAATTAAAAAAGCACTTATAGGTGCCCACAAATAGTATTATCATGTACAATTATCTATATAAATAGTATCTGTAATATTCTGTAACCTACCTTGTTCACTCACCATAATATTTTAAGGTATATCCATTTTATTTAGCAAATTATATTCTGCACTTTAACAGTTTTAGTTTTCCAACAAATAACAAAAAACTGTAATTTATGTATTTATTCCCCTTCTGATGGACATGTGGGTTCTTTCCAATTTTTGCTATTGAACATATTTTACAGTGAACATACTTTTTATTTCTTTGTACATGTGTTCAAGAGTTCCTCTAGGTTACATATCCAGAAGTGAAATTGTTTCCCCAAATTGCTCTGCAGAAGTGGGTTTTTACATTTCTCAGAAAACTCTCTGCCCCATCCAGGGTCCTTCTTGGCTTAGCTCTGAGCAGGCGTGGGATGACTTTCTATTCAGGCTCTGTGAGTTTTCTCATTTTTCACAAGAGCATGTCAACCTCAGCTTTACTCTCTATTAAGGCTGAAGGGAATTACCTGACAAAAGCCATATGTCAGGCTCTAGTCAGAGAGAATGCAATCAAAGTCACAGCTAGCTAAGATTTATCAAATGCTCAGATGAGAAAACAATCGTTATGGAAGATTACCCAAACAAAGACTATCCATTCTCCCTGATACTCTAACATTTGGATTGGACTAAATCAACAGAGAACTTCAATTATTCTAAATTGGTGCCGAGTGTAGAGACTTACTACTCGAAGTATAACCCATGGACCAGCAGCTCAAGCATCCCTGGAAGCTTTCTATTAATGGGACTATCTTGTTCCACACCTGATCTTTAAAAGGGGGTCTATATTTAATAATTGAGTTACTTGTAAAGATTGTGGAGCACAGTTTGAGAGAAGTGCTTCTCCTTGTTGCTGTTAGAATTTCAGCTGCCTTTATTGAAACTGGTGAAATTCATTATTATGTATCTAATAAAAGTAACATTCATGTCATTGGCCATTATACACACATCAAGAGTAGACCCTTAAATGAGGACCCTCCAGAAAAACTTTTCTGATCTTAGTGTCAGATAATTATGTTTCCTAAAAAAACTATTCTGGGGCTTGAAACATTGTGAAATATGTTACTGACCGGACTTTCCTTTTTTTAATGCTAATTACACCAGGAGCAGCCTGCAGCAAGCATACAGGCTTTAACAGAAGATGCTTTAGGTTGGTCTCACATCGGAATCTATCTTATGTTCCAATATTTATTGTTTTTATGCATGTTAATTTATATTTTCTAGCTATATTTTAGCTTAACTTCCATTTGACACAGAAGACAAAGAAATAGGACACGAGCTGGTAGAAAGTTATATCAAATAAAAGAGTAGATCGCAGTTCTGGTCACTCAGTGCATTCCACCTGAACATCCTCCCATCAGACAGTAACACCTGATGAATGCGAGTCTCAACGGTCTCTGCCTGATCGAGTCTGACATTAAATTTAACGTAATGGGAATTTCTAATTTATACTAAGCATAAATAGTTTGAAAACAAAACAGGTACTAAAGCCTGCACAATGAGACGGTGCTCTACATGGCAGCAGTTGGTATAATCATAAAGAGTAAGTTTGCCAGGCCTACTGTCACAACCCAATTTCACATTTTGAGAATCTTTCCCAGTAACTTACTTCTTGTACTGTTACTAATTAGTAATTAGTTCTTGTATCTTTTAATGTCTAGTTCTTTGTCAATCATAACTGAAATGCAGCCCAAAGTATACCAGTCTTATAATCAGTAGATGTGTGTATGAATTAAAAATGGCTATCCTACTTAATAGCAATAGAACTGTATTCTGTTCTGTTGAAGGCAGTGACAACATTGATCTTACGTATTTGTTGAGGATATTGTTTGAGATAAGCTTTATAAAAGGGACTGGTATAGAGCCTGGTAGTAATCAGGTACCAGCCTGTCTCTCTGTTCATTAATCTTGTATTGTTTTGTTGGTACATCCTAAAATGACAGAGGGACAGAACATCTAGAAAATGTTAAACCATAATGCCAATAGCTTTGGAGCATTCATTTAACTGCTATCTTACTGTTGAGCATTAGAGTATCTCATATTTTCCATGCACAAGTAAGAATAAGTGCATACAGATCTTTGTATGCCCTGTGTGTTATTTTCTTATGCAGAATATACTTCCAGAGATAAAACCATTATATTGAAGGATAAGAATATTTTAAGGTTATTTATATTCATTTCAAGTTATCCTTCACAAATTTACATTTTTACTTTTGGTCTAAGAGTGTAATTATTCATAATCTGATATCATCATTGGTATTGATTATAATAATTAAATGTATAAAAATTTTTAAAGCTATCTAGAACAGAAGAAGAACTTAGGACAGACATGGCTTTAACATTCCCTTAAGCCTAATAAACTTGAGACAGGTTTTTGCTGACTGTAGTCTTTTGGCCTCCCTTGTCTCAAAGCATATACTTTAGAAACCTCCAACTGCAAATTCATTATCTCCCCCGTTAAGATGTCAATAATCTCCTTCTCACGTTTACATCCTTACAACTGAGCAATGTCTATCTCAGAACCTGGGAGCTGTCTGTTTAAAGTGTAATATCAAGAAGCACAGAGTCCAGCCTGTGTGAGAGGGTAGGAGCCTAACTTTCATAAGCATCACTCAGTAAACACAAGTGGTATAACCACATTGACCAAATCTTCTCTAACACACCCCAATTTTCCACTCACTCACCTTAGTTCCAAAAAGCCTCTCCTGCCTCCTTTCTAATGAACTTCAGTTCAGTCCCTCTCCCTATTCCCTATTTATTGCAATCGTCTTTAATAAAGTTCTTCCTTTCCTTAACTCCACCTGGAGCATTTTCTTTGATACTTACCATCTTGTTTCAAGGCATCTGAGGAGTGATACAGGTTGATGGGGGAATAGTAATGTTGCGGGACTCCTCGCCAGCTGGGGGCAGAAACGCTCAGCGTTCCTAGTGAAGGGCTGCTGAACCGTGGTCTGGTTTTTGAACCCAAAACAGGTGAAGATGAACTCTTCTTAATTCTCAGCAAGGCAGCGTATGATGTAGGGATATCAGGAAGAACTTCTGAATATTCTGTAGAAGAAAAAATAAACAGTGAATTTGGTAGGGACTGGTTTATTTGTTTTTAAGGAAATTGTTTCTTCCTATTGTTGAAAACCTTCCTTGCAGCAGCTACCAAAAGTAAACTGCAGTGAGAGTGAGAAAAAAATAGTCCTTTTATGTTTTTTTTTTCTTTTCTTTTAGAGACAGAGTCTCACTCCATCACCCTGGGTAGAGTGCCATAGCGTCATAGCTCACAGCAACCTCCAACTCCTGGGCTTAGGTGATTCTCTTGCTTCAACCTCCCGAGTAGGTGAGGGTACAGGCACCTGCCACAACGCCCGGCTATTCCTTTATTGTAGTTTGTCTGGGGCTGGGCTTGAACTCGCCATCCTCAGTATATGGGGCCGGTGCCCCACCACTGAGCCATAGGCACTGCCCTCCTCTTATGTTTTTAATTATTTTTTGAAAATTCTACTAATGATAATGTTTGCAAAAAGAAGAAAAAAAGTAGGGAAGGAAGGGAGTGAGGGAAGGGGAAGGGAGGAAAGGGGAAGAGGGAAAAGAAAAAAAAGAAGAAAAGAAACTAAAAAAACTAGGAAGAAAAAAATGAAAGGAAAAGAAAGGAAAGGATGAACGAAAGGCAGGTAGGGTGAGGATGGACATTCAACAGCTACTTTCTGTCAGGAATATTTGTAAATCAACTTCTCTGAGTTTGCCTTAATGTTATAAATTCATATACATTAGATCGGCTCCTTCCTTATTGTTAAAAAAATAGAAAAAGTATTCTCACTTATATTCTACAGAGATTGGATTTCATCACCGAAAATGCATCACGTGGTATGGAATGTGTCCAGTGTAGCACATTTATTTTGACTAGGCTGTAAGTTATACCCCAAATTCTTGAAAAGCAGTTAAATGCACTATGGAATATTTTTAAAAATTAGATGAAATTTATTTTGTATGGTTTGTTACAAAATTTATGTAGTTTATTGTTAGGTGGGAAAAAGTCTGAAAGTCCTATTTTACTGATAATTAAGAACACTTTGCCCATGTTTTTCTCTAATTCCCCGGCGTTTGGGTGGGAACGACGCCCTTAGTGACTGAATGTCAATGCCCTGTAGTAGCTCTTTTCTGTGCATAGAGAAGAGTCAGTTGAGTATATAGATAAAATTTTTAAAAAACACAAAGTAGGTGTGATGAATTATGAAGGGCAATGTGAGCTGGAGGTTTTTCTTCATCTAGTATTGATTAAACCGGACACTTTGCTGATCTAGGAAATACTTTTAAGAATTACGAATTTTTCTTCAGGTTATCTGACTTTTAATCATTGCTTAATTTTAGATTAAAAATAATTTATCTTTGTCAGTAAGCTTTCTCCTAATTAAACTTACTTAGAATCATTATATTGCCTCTTAGACATATTTTGGAATGCAAGAAGCATTTCTGTGACTTGAAAATAACACTTTATGTGTTAAGCATCAAATTAAGCTTAACATTTTCTGTTCTGTGAAATTGTAAATATGATTTCTCTAAAACTCAAAAAGGTATATTTTTAGATGTTTTCCACACTTAAAATGAACATGGTCTGTGTAGCTCAAGCCCTTCAGGAGTTTTTAAGAGATTCACGGCCTTTAGTGTTTGCTGTTCAACCATAGTCTGGTGAAGGTGGATCAATTTTAACTGAAAATAGCTAACCTCTCATGGGCAAACGGCGTGTGAAAAGATTATGGGTAGACATAAAATCTCCTTTAAAACCTGGAATTAAATGCAAGTTTTGGCACCTAGAGGTGTAAGGTAACAGAAAGAAGATGAGATTTCCCTTAAGGTAGTTCGGAGGTTTAGTTTCTGATCTTATTCATTTCTCAGTACCGTCTATTGCGTTGTGTTTTAACCACCTTCCCTGCTCATGTATAAAAAGAAAAAAAAAATAGTCCCAGGCTAATGTTAAAAATTAAAATGAAGTATGAGAATGTGGTTTCTGGTTCTGAAAGCCAGATAAGCATAATCAGCAAAAACTAGAAAGGCCATAATTGGGCTGAAAAAAGCCACGGTCGTCATTGCAGTCATTAACTTAGATATATTTTGATGGAGCACATACTGTCCAAGTGCTATAGAAAAAGGCTAGTGCCATTCCAGAGAAGTAGAGATGAGTCAAATGCTAATTTGGCTGTGTCTCCTGCACTAGGGCTTCGTGTATTATGCAACCATTTTTATCTGTTGCAGTGGAAATTCCTTTTTTATCAATTAATGTGAACACAAAGCTGTTACTAGAAATCTGGCCATTTATTCATTCATTCACGCATTCAACAAACATATACTGAGAACTTAGTAGGTGCCAAATGCTAGAGATGCAGAAGTAAATAGTGCCCAGCTTTCAAGGAGCTGTGCTGTAGTGGAGAATTAGGCACGTGTGCATGCAATTTTAATCTAATGTCACATAAAAGTAAATTTGGGGACCTGTGGATTTGTTGCCATTGGTAGAGAATCCTGTCATTCACATAGGGCCATTAGAAATGCTTTCTAGAGCAAATTCTACCTAACTGAGTCCTAAAATCCCATTAATGATTAGTAGAGACCTGAACAGGGAAAAAGATATTCTGGTTAGTGAGGAAAACATGTGAAAACCTGGAAAGGAATGGAGTCTGGCCCACTGGGTGGGTTAAGATGGTACGGAGCTCAGAGTGAGAAGGAGAGAGCTGAGAGGAGATACACGGCTGGGCAAGGAAGCCGGGAGCCAAGGATGAGCACCTCGCATGCTGTGCTAAACTGGGTGGCTGAGGGAACACCACACACTCGCCAGGGACCACTCTGGCTGCCGGTCATATTGAAACAAGACAAAGGGGTGAAACATTATTCCAGAGCCTTAGCTGTAGTAGGGAATAAGGAGATGATATGGATGGAAGTAAAATCAATCAGGTTACTGACTGATAGCAGGCACATAAAGGAAGGCAAGAAAATGGGCATAGTCAGCACCATGAGGGGAACGTGAAGGATTCAGGAAAAGGCATAAGCTTGAGTGAAACTGGAGAACTCATGTCTGGACAAGTGAGGAGCCAAATGCGTCCAGTGCATTCATGGTGATTGATAGATTCTGCAAAATCAGGTGCGAGCTCATGAGAGAGATTATTAAGCAGTAATCAAACATACAGTTATCAAAACTATGAGACTAGATAAGTTTGCCAAGGAAGGATGTAAAATAAGAACGAGAGTGTTGACAATGAAATCCTAAGGAGTGTCAGTGTTAAAAGCAGCAGAGGGTGATGGATTCAGCAAAAGCACTGACTTTGCCACTATCCAATCCATCCATGTAACAAAACACTCATAACCTCTAAATACCACTGAAATAAAAAATTAAAAATATAACAAAAATATAACAATGTTTTAAGTTTTCTCTTATAAAAAAGAGAAACAGCAGAGCTAGTGAACTCTGAAAAGGAAAGAGGAAATGCTGAAAAACGTGATGTCACCAAAGGTGAGGAACAGAATCTTTCAGGACAGACAACGAAGCCATCAGCAGAGTGGAAAACCAGGGTTCTTTACAGCTAGCGGGTCTGTCGAGGCTTAGATTTAAACTTAGGGTGGGATTAGTCCTGGAGACCCATTGAGGATGAGGGGCAGTGTGACTAAAGGTGCACTGGAGGGAGTAATGTTATAGACCATGACCTTTATCCCTTAAAAGGGGAAGAATTGAGGAAATGAGAAGAGCGTTCTGGACAGTGAAAGGGCATTAAAATCAGTGGGTTGTAGATCACAGAAGTAGTTGAGATCACAGACAGAAATGAAATGATGAGAGACGAGGGACAGAAACACAAATATTTAGATTTAAACACAGGAAGGCAATGCACTTATTTTTCACCCTCAGCAGAATCCTGCATTTGTTAAGTGAATTCAAGAGGATCAAGTGTGGAGAAGGTGGCCCTGCAGAAAATGGGCTCCCTGCAGCATGCAGACCGCCTGGCTGCTCCACACTGGGTGCAGAGGGAATGTGAAAGCACAGTCACAGCCAAGGGGGGACGAGGACGTTCTGAGCTGTTACCTTTCCATTTGATGTAAAAGCCCAGCCTTATATTATGGTTTTCATCGGTTTCATGGTCTGAGTTCAGTAAGGTCTAAAGGACAGTTTTAATTCCCCTACTTGATGTCTTCTTAGTGGCCCAGCCCCTGTCTGATACCTTGCCTAAAGTTCTCCACACCTGAATCCCAATTCTGGGGATCGCCATCTCTGGAAAATAGATATATTATCATAAATAAATGAGAAAATGGTATTTCATTTACAGGCCTTTGTTTTATCCCCAACTTTGAGAGACTGAATTGATTTAACAAATGTAGGGTTATGGGAAGGGTGAAAACAGCTGCATTTCCTTCCTGTGATCAAATACAAATATTTGGATTTCTCTCTATCTTATCATTTCACCTCCTCCAAGACCTACAGTGGACAGATGTTAACAGCTCCTCCCTCCTGCGCCATCTTCTCAGTTCCTCAGTTCCCTCCCTCCCCCGGGAGAGTCCGTGTTCCATGATTTTCCTCCCTTCAAGGCACCTTTAGCCACTTTATTCCTCACTCTCTGCTTTTTATTTGCACACTACAGTCTCCCCACCCCTGCTGAAATTCAAGTATCCACATACCCTGTAGCCAGAGAAGACACAGAATCATATTGAAAGATCTTAATTTGTAATAACCTCTAGTTAACTCCAAGTTTCTAGAATTGCCCCTGCATTTCACTAGCCTAGTCTCTCCCCCACCCTTCAAGGTGAATCATGGGCATCTTATCCTCAACTTTTAAGCCCATGTGTGTCTGGCCTTACTGAGGATGGGGCTTCCTTTTCAACTGAGGAATCAGAGGCCTTTGGGAGGAGACCCTCACACACTCTCACCACCTGAGGAATCAGAGGCCCTTGGGAGGAGACTCTCACATACTCTCACCACATGCACTGAGGAATCAGAGGCCCTTGGGAGGAGACCCTCACATGCTCTCACCACATGCACTGAGGAATCAGAGGCCCTTGGGAGGAGACCCTC